AGTTGACTTTCACTTAATCTCTTCTTTGGGCCCTTAACCTAAATAAATAAATAAATAACCTGAAAAATAATATCATTTAATCTTCCCTGGTTTCCAAGCTCCTAATCACCTTTGTTTTGCATTCATTCATTTGTATGCTGCCTCCTCCTATTACTCTAAAGAGAGCTCACAATAAAATATAAAAATCATACACAGCATAACAAATTAACATCTATTCAACTAGATAAAATACATTATATAGCTTCTAGATAAATTAATTCATCTCCAGTGCACCAAATGTATTGCACTCTGTCCCAAAGCCTAATTGACAAAGTCACATGGATTTGCGTAGAGCTGAATGCCAACTAGACTGGTCCATGCAAGCTAGCTGAGGCTCACTCATGCTTAGTTATCTGGGAGCATTTTGATGCGGTAACTCCTGAGGAAGTTGCTAAGAACCTAGGGAAGGAAGCACTAGTTGTTCGATCCTTGACCTGGCTTGTGGCAGCCACTCAGGAGAAGATATGCAGTTGCTCCTATGCAGTTGTGTTGGCCTCTTTGAGAGAGGAAATAATTTTGCTAGCCCTGAAAGAGATATGTATACATGCCCCCTCCTCAAAAGGACATTGCTAGACCCAGTCATCTAGATACTTTTTTTTTCCCTAATGCCCAATCTTCCCTTTTGGATAAAAGTTGTTGAGAAGGTGATCAAGCTATAGTTACAGAAGATCCTAGAATAGAGAGATTATCTGGATCCTTATCAGTTGAAGTTCAAGACATAGAATCAAGATGGCATTAGTTGGGATGTTGGCAGGGTGGATAAAAATAGATGATTTTTTTAAAGAAAAAAAATTTAATTGGATTTTTAAAATTTAAATCGGATTTTTTTTTATTTTTATCAAATTTAAATGAAATAATAATAAAATGCTTTTGGAGTAAAAAATCAATCTAAATATTGTTTTCTATATAAGATGCATTAGTAATTTAGTTTATTCAGCATGAAATGGAGTTTAGATATTTAGCATGAGGCTGTATATTCTGCAATTTTAGACTGTTGGTGAAACAACAGCGGGTCAGAGGGGGAGCCACTGCGGGATAGAGATGACAGTTGTTCTTTAAAATTCTGATTTAAATCGAGTTGATTTAAATCAAATCCACTCTGGATGTTGGTAGCCTATATGCTGGGATTGGTGTGGTGCTACCATATTATCTTTCTTAATCTATAAATGTCTTTTGACCTCATCAACCACAGTATCCTTCTTAACTGGTTTCCGGGAGTGGGAGCGGGGGCATTTTTGGATGCCCTCCAGTTAATATCTATATGAGGTCTCTGGGAGAGTCATCCATTGGTTTTTGGTTAAGCATCATAAGTATGTCATTTATATCTTGATCCCTGGCCAGCCACATCATGCTGTGGCTCCTTATAGTCACTTATGCCTTAGTCACATCATAGGTAGACTATTAGAACATGTTCTTCATTGAGAGAGAAAAAGGAGAAGGACATTCAGACTTGCAAGTTTCTGTTACTATAGTTTATCTTAAATAACAATATTCATAGGCCTACCTGGCATCTGTTTCTTAATCTTGTCTATCTTGCATAAGTCTGGATATTTTTATCTTTCTCTCCCTTTTTTATACCGTGGATATAACGATATCATATTTATATCGTTTTATATTCTGCCGTGTTTTTGTAACCTGCCCCTTCCTCTAGTCTAGGCTTAAGCAATGTTTAACTTTATGGTAATAGAGTTTTTTGCTCTCTGTCAAGATCATACTTTTTACTGCTTACATCCTGATAACTCCATTCAGGGCCCTCTGCAAGTGTTGCCTCACTGTTTTCTCTAAGTGTTTTAAAACCATTTCGGTCTTTAAAACCAGACCTATTCCTACTGGGTATCCTCCCAGAAAAAAATAGTAAAGAAAATATTTATTTGATTATACATGTAATACATGCAAGGATTGTTTATGCACAAAATTGGAAAGCAGAGAAAATACCTTTGGAAGGAGAAGTAATTAAAAAAAATGTAGACTGTGCAGAAATGAATAGATTGACTTTGATGATTAAAGAAAGAGAAGATTTAGAATACTTTAAGATATGGAATCAATTTTACCATTGGTTAGAAAAGAGATACAAATAAGTAAATTAATAGTTATGTATAAAAAGTGCTACAATTAGAATATTGTGTTAGTGATGATTTTTTTTTTTTAATTTGATTTATATGCCGCCCTTCTCCGAAGACTCAGGGCGGCTTACAATGTGCTCAGCAATAACACTTTGTTGTAATGGACTTGGCGAGAATGAAGATAGAAGAAACAACAAAAAAAAGATGAGATGTCACATGGAAGGAATGACTGATTTATCAAATGTTTGTGTGTCTAAAAAATAAAAAAAAACTTTTTTAAAATAAATAAATAAATAAAGCCATTTCGGTCATGCCATCATGCCAGCCAGTCAAGCTTCCGGATTTGGCTTTAAAAAAATGTGGTGTCTGAGCAGATGCCAAATTCCAGCTTTCCTTCCATGGAGGATAAATGTATTTTCAGTGCAATACTCTAGTCATGGGCTATAGGTTTCTCCAATGGAAGGACAGAAGGACAGTGTCTCAGAGGTCCAACATTACATAGTGTACCAGGCTTTCATAGATGTTATGGAACGGAAAAAAGAATTTGGGAGGAATAGCACTATAATTTGGGGCCTTCTCATCAATATCTTCTGCCATTCTCTGTGTTGGTAATGGGTGGGACTCATGTAAATGATTAATTTACAAAGCTTTCTACTAGATATTGATTAGACCTCTTTTAGCACCATTCTAGTATATATTGAGATAAATCTTAGGCACATAAAAATATGTCTTTGAAAGTGTTATGCCAGACCATTATACTTATAATATAGACCCTAAATCATAACTATGCTATTCAAATTACTGGTACTGAATTGTAGTAGCGATGAAAAAAATAGATTATTTTTATTATTTTAGTTCTATTAAATGTGCCCTGCTTCAAATGATTTTTTAAAATTCTCATTGAATTGTAATTGGTGTTGAAACATTCTATTTCATTGGAAAGATATGGTGAGGAGTAATTATTGTCTCATTAAGCTTGCTTGCTCCCTATGTTCTTTGCTGCAAAGGAGTCACACCTTTAGAAGGAAGAAAGATCAGAAATTAATTTCTTTAAGTTTCAGGAAGTAACATCCCTGAATAGCTTACAAGTAAGCTAAAAGAAATGCTGGAATAACAAGAGAAACACTGAGTTTGATCTCATGTTGCAGATTTAGTAATTTGTATCCTTACTGCTAATAATGGTTGATTTTGGTGACTTTGAAGCCATACATTCATTATCTCTCCTAACAAGAAATTTAATTTTTGTTTATCTCTTATTTTGGGGCAGGGAGATTTTCTTTCTAACCATCCCAGTATCTTGTGGCTATGTAGTTTTTACAGGGTGTCACCAGCTGTGTTGTGTTTCTTCTTAAAAGCTCATACAACAAAATGGATGAAACGAATGCTTTTTAGCAAGATTTGGCAGTAAGCACAGAGTATTTGCAACTCACTGTAACAAGGGTTAATTAGCTCCCCATTCAGAAGGTTGTAATTGCTAGGGATTTAAGCACCAATTATACCTGAGCAGCTGTTTTCACACATCAGATGAAGCTGGAGAGTGGACTCAGAGATTTAGAAAGAATAGAATGAATGAACTGGAAGCTTCAAGGTTTTGGTTAGCACCTTTAAAGCGCTCCATGGCTCAGGACCTGGGTACTTGCAGGACCGCCTACTACTACCAATAGCCTCCCACCGGCCAGTACGCTCTCACAGAGAGGGGCTCCTCCGGGTGCCATTGGTCAAACAATGTCGACTGGCAGGCCCCAAGGGGAGAGCCTTCTCTGTGGGGCACCTACTATCTGGAACGAGCTCCCCCCCGGAGATACGGAGGATCCCGGATCTGCACACCTTCCACCGCGCTCTAAAGACCTTTTTATTTCACCAGGCGGGCCTGGCCTAACTTTCTCCCTCTTTTTAAACAATTTAAATAATTTTAATATTTTTAAATATTTTTAATACTCAAAGTTTAAATTTGTTTTAAATTGATTGGGGTTTTAATCTGTCTGGGCCAAATTATTTAATTCAATTTTAATTCTGCTTTTTAAATTTTGTATATATGTATTTTATTGTTGGCTATTCACCGCCCTGAGTCCTTCGGGAGTAGGGCGGTATATAAATCAAATAAAAGTAAAGTAAAAGTAAATGGAAGGGATCTTGCAGGTCTTCTAGTCCAGCCCCCTGCTCTTACGTGAGTTTGACGCCCCTGGTCACATCGTCATGGCAGTGTCACATGACATATCGGGACTTTTTCCCCCTTCGCTAAACCAGGCGTTGGTGTGGCCAGGGCGTGAGTTTGACAGCCCTGGTCTAGACTCTTCTTAAAAACATCCACTAATGGAGCGCCCACCATTTCTGGAGGCAAGCTGTTCCACTGGTTAATTGTCCTCACTGTTAGGAAGATTGATCCGAAGCATTGAATTTTGCTTCCTTATTTTACTTTTCTATTTGCATTTCATCAAGCCATGCATCTGCAGCAAGCCATGCTGATGCAAAATTGATAACATGTGAGTAGTGACATCACACAGAAGTTTCCATTAGCTTACCTATGTCCCAGTATCGGACAGAGCCTCTAAGTTGCAATATATACATGATGTACATGATGTACATCTCCTAATATCAGTTTGGCCTAGAACTGTCTATGTACCTCTTTTCAGTCTCTTTGGGAAAGAGGGTTGCTTGTGAGGCCATAAGCAAGCTTGAATCTCCACTTGATTTCATCTAAAATAATTTCTATAGGCAGAAGCTGAATGGTTCCTATACTGAAAATTCAGCACACTTACTTATACATGCTTTCTAGGAGCATTCAAGCATTGGCCAAAAATTCTACTAATTATGGGCCGATTCATAATGCACTTCTCTTTGCCAGTCATTTGTTGTTCTTCCATTCACCCTTTACTTAAGCAAATGGGTAGTCATTCATCATTTGAATTACTTCTTTAATTGATTCTCTGTAAGATCAGGTTTTCCTGTCTTGCCCATGCCATCAGTGTTGGTATCCAAAACGGCAGGTTTTATTGATCTGTGTTCATTCCAATGACCTGTTTAAATAGGAAAAAAGTTAAAACAGTAATCACAAAATAGATGGTTGTATTTCTACTTTATGTGGATATTTGTACATATTCATTCTGTATTCCCCTTAGTCTATTAGACTTTAGACATTGTGATATTCTAATATATGCATTTTTTAAAAATGGTTTTACCTAATACATGTTTTCAGGCATTTCCATCAATGCCTACGTTTAAGTATGTGCGTTTCCCATAGGCACGTTTTTATATTATCTGTTCAGAAAGTGGCATGCCAGGATTTGGAAAGTTGTGAATAATGAATGACAATTGTATTTCAATTGTATCATGAAGTGCTGGTTTGATAACAGCCATGAAATGCAAATCAAGCTCTATCCCCCATTCCTAGGAATAAATGCATTGTTAATAACAATAACTGTAATAGTAAAGGTATCATTACAAATGAATATTTGACACTAAATCTAAAACTTAGAGAGAATAATGCATTATGTGCCTTTCCTTTATTCGTATATATTCTCTCTTTTCTTGTGACAGAAGCCAAGAGGTTAATAAATTGGTAAGTCATTTTCTAATGACTTCAAACAACTTCTGAGAGCAGCTTCAAAACCTGTCATTGATATTTTTCTGACAACACCTAATTTCAGAGTCCAGGTTATTGAAGAATGGCATTTAACCAGTCATTCATTCCTGGCTTTGTGCCAATTAATAGACATGTTACATTTAATCATTTTAAAGTCTTGAGTTCCACCATTGAAATGTACCTTAAATATACAAAATTGTTATTACCTGCAATATAGATCCAGGATTTTGGAAATTTAAATTCATATGTATTGAAGTGGCAGGGTGGATTTGATTTAAATTGAGTCGATTTAAATCATGATTTAAACCATGATTTAAATCACTAGTAAAAAGACTTGATTTAAATCAACTCGATTTAAATCATAATTTTTAAAGAGCAACTGTCATCTCTGCTACTCCTTTGACCCGCTGTTGACTCACCGATAGTCCCAGTGTTGCAGAATATACAGTCTTGTGCTACATAACTAAACTCCATTTCATGCTGAATAAACTAAATTATTTATGTATCTTAAATAGAAAACTATATTACGATCGATTTTTACCTCAAAAGTTTTTTATTAAAATAAATTCAATAAAAATTAAAAAAATCCGATTTAAATAAAAAAAATCCGATTTTTTTGATTTTTTTTTAAAAAATCATTGATTTTTATCCAACCTGTGAAGTGGCTATCTAGGACAACATAAACCAAGTATCACCTCTGTGTATAACTGTGGTGGAGTCTCCAACAAGAGTGGGGGAAGAAGGTAAGAAATTGATAAACTTGGAGTCCTTGCAGGGAAGGAAGTTACAAAGATCAGATTCCCCAGCCCCACCCCCCACCCCTAGAATTCCAGAAACCTTTATCTGGCTATTTCCCAGAGAATGTAGTTATTCTGGCAAAATTCTTGTAAGTAGCCAAGCAACAATAAAGAAGCAAATCTCACATGCTGTAACTTTTTTTTCATCCTTTCTGTGTGATTCAATGGTATCCCTATACAGGAGAGATTTTGTTTCTGCTTGTTGGAAGAAATTGAACAGTTTCTTATATGCTTTTGTAGTTTCCTTCTATATAAGGAAAGCTTCCAGCAGTTTACATTTTTGCATAACACATGCTTATGGCAGCTCAGAATAGGTGACTTCTCTTAACTTAGAGGATGGTTATCGAATTTACTGCAGTGATTATTGTCAGTAAACATTCAGCTGTCTAACTATTTGGAAACCTTTGTATTTTTATGCAATTAGTTTATAATTGGTTTGTTCTTTGGTATGTTTGATTTTGTCCTTGTAAATTATTGTTTTTTTAAATTGAGGGAAAACATTACAAGTTTAGAATATCATTCATGAGTTTGGGTCAGACAGTTTCAGAAATTGTACAAGCTCATTTCAGCCGAGGAATTTTTTTCAGTGGTTTTTATAGAGATTACACATGGAGGTTTGAATACGTATGGTGTTGTCTGCAAACCTATAAGACACCAATTAGGGATTTGAAGATGTTTTGAGGTTATGATTCAATGAAGATAAACATTTAATTCTCTGGCCCGGACAGAGGGAGGTTCAGAAGCAATATAGAATTTATAAGCTGTGGTATCAGTTACTCCAAGAAATCTCTCTCTTTTTCTATATTTGACAGCTATCTAAATTGCTGTGGATTGCTGCGAGATGGTGTTATATTCTTTTTTTGTTCCATTATTTATACCAGTTTTTTTAAATTGATCAAACAGAATGATAATAATTCTATAATTTCATGGAGCAAAACAGTATATATCCTTTCAAGCAGTGGTAAAATCCAAATTTTTTTACTACCGGTTCTGTGGGCATGGCTTAGTGGGCGTGGTGTGGCTTGATGGGTGTGGCTTGTGGGCGTGGCAGGGGAAGGATACTGCAAAATCTCCATTCCCACCACACCAGCCAGAGGTGGTATTTGCCAGTTCTCCGAACTACTCAAAATTTCCGCTACCAGTTCTCCAGAACCTGTCAGAACCTACTGGATTTCACCCCTATTTTCAAGTACTTATAAATAAATATACAACAGCTGTATCTTTAAGATTAAGACAAATAGGTTGCTGTAAAATGAATCAAAATGTCCATTCTCCATGACATCTAAAGTATAAAAATACTTAATGTGTTTGTGATTTCTGAATATGAAATATGGGAAATTTCTATTACAAGAATATGTTAATTTTATATCTACCAGCAAAACATGGCAGCTGTTTCCATTTTCTATCAGATTGCTAAAACCTAAAGGTCTTGGGTTTTTCTTTTTAAATTACCACCTACTGTTTTTAGCAGCAAAATTAAAGTTTTAGTAGTTCTGTACTAGTCAGTTGCACTGAAAAGTTTTAAACAAATGGAGGGTTTTATTTATAGATTTTTTTAAAATCCTGCCAATCTTTTATAGGAATATATGAGCCGGTTCTGTAGCAGAGAGCGTTAGATACCTGTGTTTTGCAATCTGCGTTCCTGTATTCCTTGGGCTATAAGGGACATATATATGTAGAAGGCAAAAGCTCTAGACCAGGGGTGTCAAAATCCGATTCCATTGAGGGCCGCATCAGCCGCGTGGGGCCCTCCCGAGCTCCGTTTTCTGGCAGAGGGTTGCAGGAGGCCGTTGCAGCCTCCCGAGCTCTGTTTTCGCTGGCAGGGCCAGTCCTTAGCTGTTTCCAAGGTGGCCCTGTGGGCCAGATTTAAGCACCCTACTCGCTGGATTTGGCAGCCCTGCTCTAGATCCTTCAGTTGTTATGCATGGAAAGTAATGGGGGGTAAGGACCATTCACACTTCCAAAATAATTTGAAAGCAGTGCTTTGGATTCTGAACAAGCTCCAATAGCTACAGACTTTTGGTCATGGTTCCCAGTGAGATTTTTCTTAAAAAGGAGTGGCTGCTTTAAAGTTAATGCAGTTCTTAAACCGGTAACACATTTTTCATACTTGCACAGATGTTAAGCTACTTTAATGGTATGAAACACTTTGTTCTATTAAGAATGTTTCCCCCCCCCCTAAAATATCATATGGAGTTTGAAGCTCAGTAGGTGGCAGAGATTATATAATTATCATTTCTTGATTTAAGAGTTTACTTTTAAAATTGATGCAGTGACTTATAAGAGAGCTACATAATGCCTGTATTAAAAGAGAATAGTTGAATCAGTCTTACAAAGTAATCAGTAGCTTTTCATTGTAAAAACAGAAAGTGAGTGCAGCTTGGTGACATGTATAGTGCCTGGTCCTTCATAAAGGTTTGTTTTGTTCTTGGGTTGAAGACAAGACTGAGCTTAATATACTTTCAGTAGTACATTCTCTTAAAACTCCAGGACAGAGAATCAAAGCATGAAGTGTATGATACATTTGACCCTGCCTTTGGGCTCTACCTAGTCATTTCCTACAGCATGATTTTTACTTCATGAGATGTGTAATATCCCATCCCATGAACATGCATGATTTTATATAGTAATTGACCTATTAATTATAGATTTTTATGTACCACACATTCATTGTCAACCTTGAACCCTGAATTTTGGAGTATCTTCAGGGCTGCCACAGCAAGGCTGGTTGGAGCTGTGAGAATTAGAGGGGGGAGTAGAGATAGCTGGGGACTTGTAGCCAAAATAAAATTCTTTCTCCTGGGAATCAAGGACGTTCCCACCAGGTGCTGGGGAGGTGTGGACTGAGACCAACTGGAGTTGGCACTGTGACCTGGTTGGACCATGGGATGGACATGTGGACTGAGGAAAGGAACTTTGAATTTAATTTGTGTGGGGAAAACCTCGCAACCTTCAGAGTCGGGTTTTCACAAGATGTGCCAATATGACATGCCTAATAAATTTGGACTTTGAGGAGCACCTTGGCCGTGGAGCTTTGATTGCATTGGGTCTGTTACTTGGAACCCTGACATTCATCTGATATCCACATCGCAATTGGCAACTTCAATGACTTTGAAATTGCAGAGCCATTCAAACTTATTTGTTATCCTAAGATAAGGGTCTGCTGTTCTAAGGGGAAAATAAGTTTTAAAAAATTCTGTTTGGTTCTGAGTTATCTGTGTTAGACTCTACGTGTGACCTAATAGAGGAAGCAGATCCCATCTTAGATGCCTTTCCAGCCTTGACTAATTATGCATGTTCTGTCAACAGATGGAGACTACTCCTTCATAGTAGTGGGAGAACTCAGCCTTTTGCATAGAAGAGACATAAAGTGGGAAGAGTTTGGGCACATTAAAATTTCCTATAGTACAGTATTTATGCTATAACATTTTTCTTCTTTCTAATGAATAGAATTAATCAGATATCTATCATTCTTATTCCTTGTATTATTCATGTCTGTGTCAGACTGCAAGGAAAAGAAGATGGCATTAATTACAGTAAGGCCTTGCTTTGGCCAAAATCATGGTAGCTGATTTTCTTGCTATGCTCTTGACTGCTGAATAGGTCATCAACACTTTCTTCAGTATAAGAACTAAAT